CCTCTAGAGTGTAGTAAACGACTGGCCTGTAGAGGAACATGCAATTAGCGGAACCCTCAACAGGGAAAAATGTTTCTAGCCATGTAGAGGGTTTTCGGTTAGAAACACCCTCTAGAGCGCAGTCCACCACTTGCCTGTAGATAGAGGGCATCGCGGTTACCTGAACCCTCTACAGGGGAAAAGTGTTTGTAGCCATGTATAGGGTTTTGATGTTGAAATACCCTCTAGAGGGCAGTACACCATATGCCTCTACAGGGGACAAATATTTAGGGGCCAGTTAGAGGGTTTTGGCGTAGAAATACCCTCTAGATAGAGTGTGAGAGATTCTAGGCCTCAAGAGGGAAATGCCAGGCATGATAGGTCTACAGGGATGCACATACGGAAACCTTCAATGTGTACCGTAGAGGACATTGCATCAACAACCCTCCAGTGCACATATGTATGACAAACGATCGAAAGTCATCACTCCACAGGTTTCAAATCAAGGACCCTCTTGAGGTTCGAAAGATTTTGGACCCCCTGTAGAGGAAGTACCACTTGATAACGTACGCTTGAGGGTAAACACATGGTGCCCTCGAGAGGGAAAATATCCACAGACAATAGCCTCCATAAGTAAACGCCACGTAAAAGTCACCTTCTAAGAAAGTGCAAGTGCAAGAAGAATTCTCGTTCCTCTCTAGGCGTTTATTTTAACAACCTTCTTGACGTTCTCGCCTCCATGAGGTGCCAATGAGTGGGGCTCGATTTACCAGAGAACTTTGCAGCCACAAGTAGGGACCATGCCCCTGCGGGTGAGAGCACTATCACGACAATACCGAACCTCGCCAAAACGTAATATGCTCTATTCAGGTGCACCGACTTGCACCCCCTCCGCTGTTCGCATTGCGACCGACCTACTATATATATATATGCAACTGAGATGACCGGTGGTGGGATGCACCAGCGAGCGATCCTGTGGGCGTCCGCAACGATCTCATATCCCAGTCCTGGAGGTTTGACGTTTTCTCAAAATCAGACAACGCCATCCTGGAAAGCGCCACGCCAATGTTCATTCCGCATATACGCGTCCCTATGCCCGTGTCGCCTGTCCCGGGGCGCCGTCGCTAAATTGTAGTGGTGCTTCCACACCTTAGACCCGGCTCCTTTCGCCGTGTCGTCCATGCGTAGTTCACACGATTTCGATTCTGAGATATCGTCGATGCGGCCCCCTTCGAAACTCGAAGTCGGGTAGAGGTGGTTCATATGAACGTGGCGCCGGAAAGCCTCTACAGGAAAATCTGACGGAGTGGTAGCTGCCCCTCCTTGCAACCAGTAGGTAGGGTGCTTAGTTGCCAGATCTTCCTTCTTGCTTCGTCCTAATCCGCACGTCACGTACTCGTACACGAGAACGCATTCCATGGCGGGGCCGGGTGCGCTACAGCCCGGACGCCTGTTGAGGTTGACGTTGAAGAAGTACAGAATCTTGCCCAACGTGACGCCCCCGTCACCTGAAAGATCATCCTCTCGCGCCTTCGGCGTCGTAAAGATCTCGACGTCTTGTCCGCCCCCGGCGCCAACCGCCCAATCCCGTGGGCTGGTTCCTTCGTTGGTGGCGGCCTTGACGTCACCCCCCTTGAAATAACACATGCCGCTGCTAGACTTGGCGGGCACTCCGTGCTTGATCCGAGAGCAGGAGATGTTGCTGTTGTCCAACTTGCCGCCCCCCCCCTCCCAACAACAGGGACACCTCAGTTCGGAACAAACGGCGGACAAGTCGCCTTTGCCGCTACCGCAGCCGTACCAGATACGAGCGGCGGCCAGAATGCGTTCCTTGCGAGGGCGGATACCGTCTGCACCAGCCATGCACGCCTCCCATGGCTCCTTCGGCCCCTTGCCAGCGGAACCGAGATGGCTGTGGTTGGGCACCAAAGGCTCGTCAGGGAGGACGCTCGACTCCCACCTCGCGGACCCCTGATGTTGTGCCGTCGACGCTGCTGCAGTGGGTACAACTCCAACGGTGGCGTCTTCCACATGGGCCATCCCCACCTGGAGCATACTGCCGACTGCCTTCAGCACGCGCTGGCATCCGGAGCCAGATGTCACCGTTTTGGTGACCTTCGACTTTGTGGCGTAGGAGTAACGCGTCGCCGTATGAGGCTCTGGAGTTGTGAGCCTCGCCAACGCCAGGAACGTGTTCGCTCGCCTGGCATGATAGGCTGGGGGGTCTCGCGAAGAATCGGACTTGCTGCCGCTCTTGTGCATTTGGTGTCCTGCCTCACCAACATCTGAATTCTGGGGGCGCCCTGCTCGAGACGGTCAGCGGCACGGTGGGGCAGCGAGGCGAAAAAAAATGAGGCGCCACGAGGTTTTTTATGTTCCAAATCGTCTTGTCTTTTGAGGTCACCCCCGAAGTTGACCTTTTGGGTTAGGAGATTCATATCGGACGGTCCTCAGTTGCGTCCTATTTTTTGGGGCAAATAACTTGCAGAGTGGTTCTGCGACGGTATTTACGTCCTGAGGGGGAAACACCTTGGGCAACATTTCCCAGCCGATGACACGGCACACTGATTGAAACAAAGGAGGTATACCTGCAGTATGTGGTCCTTTTTTAATGGGGGGGGGCGGGATCTAGGGGTTATGAAAAACGCGGGTGTTAGGTGTGGTTTTCAACGTCCACAGAAAAAAAAAGAGAGACCTGGACTTGTCTCCCGCCCCTACAAGTGCCACAAGAGGTTAAGTGAGCTTGGTCCACGGGGTAGATAACGCGCCACAGTCTGCTGCATGATGGGAGGGGTTTATTCTGTTATAACGGGCACCCGACAGGATCCCTGCAGCGATTTTTTTTTTTTGCGCGCACGGACCTCTGCGAGTTATTTCGGGTTGAACAGGGTTTTCGCACGATTGAGAGCGAAGTTTCCGATTGAGAGCGAGAACCAAAAAAAATCGAAATTCGGGTCCAGACGCCTCCCGTCATTTCTCGGGAAGCAGGGGACGGGCTCTTCCAAAAAGCGGCGCAAATTGAAGCTCTCTTCAGCAGCTTCGCGTGCATTAGGCCTGTCCTCCATCGGCCGTTTTATTTTCGATTTAGATACACAAACTTTATTTCTATACTAATTTCAAGTAATTCCACCTTCTTATTCTCCGTCATACAAGCAAAACGGCCGATGGAGGACAGGCCTAGCGTGCATATGCGTGTCACTGCGATCGGCTGCAGCAGCGAGGAGCTACGCACGTTGCTAGATTTCCCCAGATTGGCTACTCCTGCCCGAAACTGTTTCAGGGCGCCGTCGCCTGGCGCGGTAGGCCCTCCCGTAGCTTCTGCTCCGCGGTGTAGCTCCACAACGCGAGACACCCGCAGGATGACCCGGGTATCGGCTTGTAGCTATGGGCAAGCCCTTCAATTCAAGCCGCACAGCAAGCTCTACCTCTCAGCAGTAGACAAGCTACATCGTATCGCACGATCTCGCTCTCAATCAGATACTTCGCTCTCAATCGTGCGAATATGTTGTTGTTGATGACTCAAGGGCAAAAACATAAGTTTTTACCAACGAGAAAAACACCTCTCGTGTGTTCTGATCGGCGTGCCTACAGTGTCCGAGTGGTTTTTGTACCCTAGTTTTTTCTGTTTCTTCGTGGGGTCGTGTATGCCTGGTTTTGAGACCACGGGCTCCCAATCTTTCTTTTTTAGAGCTAATGTGAGAAACAACAACAACAACAAGTGTCGGCATTTGTAAAACCGATTGCAGGGGTCCACAATGAAAAAAAAAGGGCACACCAAAGGGTTGAGTGGCAAAGCGTTGAGCGGAGAACCAAAATAACCGTAGGAAAGCTGTCGTCAGCAGCGAGCGTCCGAATGAGCGCATCGGAAGCAGTTGGTTCGTGCTGTGAGAAAAGTTACGGCCCCATTTCCACCACCGCCGCAACTGGCTATTAACCCACCAAAATCGCCACATCTCAGCACCTCCGTACGGTCATCCCACCGCAAAAGCGTTGCATTTTTGGGAAGCTCTCTTTCAGAACCATTTTACTGCAGTGGAATTATTCCCGAGCGCCGTGGTGTGCACCGGAAAAAAAAAGGTCCGTATGGAAAGGAGAAAAAAAAAAAGCACCTCTCCAATAATTTCGTCTCAATTTTTTATCGTGGGGTAATAATCTGGAGATAACTCAAGGTTTTTCCCGCCCGATATCAAACAAAGGAATACGGGAAAGAAAGCGTCTGTCAACAACACAGCAGTTATACAAGTGCAAAGGTACATCTATCTGCTCAAAAAAGGTCCACTCTACCGAGACATGCGGTAAACTTCTATTACTCATATCATACAGACGCCGGTTCACCGGTTACGTCACGTAACGCCCTTTTTCGTCTTTTTTTTCCTGTCTTCTCATTATTTCATTCTCCCATACATTACTCTTGAAAAAAGTGTACAATTTTCTTCGGCGTCACATGATTTTTCTGATTCCGGGTCTTCTCGGTGCCATCATGGACATTACGTACATGAACAGAACATCGAAATCCATGACCGCAGTCAAAATTTACGACCGGTCGACAAAAATCGGCCTTACCATTGCCGGCACTGCTTGTGTAACCAAAACGTGTGGCATGTCAGATGGCTTTCTCTCACCATGAGCCACGATGGAAGCAGCGAAGTAAAGTCACATGTGGGTGCTTGTCCGCACTCCCTCTCGACCAAGGGTAAGTCTGGAGTTTTCCACCTGAGGGTAAACACGCCGTCAGCATACGTTTGTCGCATCCTATATTTAATGTCACACAAAAACGAATATACGCTTCACCAGAAACGGGTAACTTCACCAGAAAATTTAACAAGACTTCGCGCGTAGAATTGGGCGTGCCGCATGGCGCACACTTGGGTTTGGGTGTAGTTCGCGACGAAAGTTGAAATAGCGAGGTTAGCGTGTACTCCGGGTGTCCTCGTACTAGATGGGGAGGAGGTGGAACAGCACTTTCGTGGAAAACGAGTACCTACCTGTGCAGTAGGCTCGTGCGCTGTAACCATTGGCTCGTTTATCCCATCAAGCAGCACCAGTGTTGCGTAAGGGTTAGGGTTAGTATGACTTACACAGGGGGTGTGTGTATTCATCATCCATCCGACGCGAGAGAGGAAGGGGGGGTGTTCATCATCATCGGTTAAGTAGGAGAGGGAGAAGGCAACTCAAGAGCGTGATCGGTGACCAGCGTAGCACGGTAGTCACAGGTCGCACACTAGACCGTGTCGTGCACAAGTGTAGAGATGCGTACAGCAGTTCATGCATTATCAATTGAGGGGGGTGTAGGAGCTTGTGTTGGGGTGTGTCTCTAGGCTGTCCTCTCCTCCTGCTGCTGCTGCTGCTGCTGTTGTTGCTGTTGTACAGAAGCATGCAAAGACACCCCGACTGGACAACCCAGCAACCAAGCCAGCACGACCCACTAACCAACAGGAGGACGCAATTTCCTGTTTGTCAGCTGCTCCATCGCGTGTCCACACCCATCTCTCCCTCCCTCTGTCTCGACACAGGGCGGGCAGCTGCGGCCTCGTCACGACCCTCACGGGCGGGCAGGCTAAGAACACATAAGTGGCTCCATCCATCTCACAGCCTACATCTGGCAGACAGTGCCTTCGACCCTTCGACGGCGGTGGTATCTCCTTCTCTCACGGAATCACAAATCTTTGTTTGGACAACGGATGGGTACAACCTGGATTTCCTGCTACT